TTGACTTAAAAGTTCAATATTGAATCTGAACTAAACTTTTTTTAAAAAAAGTTCAAGTTCAAGTTCAGTTCAATTTTAAACTGAACTTGAACTTGACCAAAAGTTCAGTTCAGTTCAGTTTATAGAAATACTAGATGACGGGTTCTAATACTAGTACATATATATAAAAAAAAATCCAGCCTCAAACTAGTCTGTAGACTTCAGATCAAACCCAACCCAAACTCAGACTTGATTAAAAGTTTGAATATAAAAGTCTGAGTTTGGTCTAAAAATCAGATCAGACTCAAACTTGACTAAAGTCTGGTTCGAGTCTGGTCTATAGAAGCACTAGTAGTTAGTTGCAGTTACACTTTTAAGAAGATTTGATGATTTTGCAATTATGAAAAAGACAAACGGCTAAATGTATATGAAGATACAAGTAGTTGTATAATCAAGTTTATAGTTTATTCACTAATTTACTCAAGTTATATATGTATGAAGTTACTATAATTGATCTGTAATTTATTTGAGTAATCAGTGTATAAAAACACAATTACTCTTCTGGGAATTGTTAGTTTTTTATTTAATAAAGTGATTGAGTTGTTCGTGTATGAAGACATAACTACTCCTTTATTATTATTGAGTTGTAGTGAACTTCAAGTTTTCTTTTTAATATGAGAAATATCTAAAACTATTTATACTTTTAGATTTTTGATCCTTACTGCTATTTTTATAAATTATATTTTCATTTAAACCACTAAGTCTAAGAGAAACACTATTGCTACTAGTACTACTTAGCGCTATTAGCAATATTTAGCGCTATTAGTACTATTGCAATATGCTTCACATTGGTATTATATTGTGGTTATTTCATCACATGATGCTAATTACAAGGTTAACATTTTTTTTTCTAATTTTTAAACTCCAGCAAAAAATCTTTTTAAAGGAATAGTTTAAAATAACAATAGAAATAATACAATATTATTACTAATTAAAATTTTATAAAAATTTTATAAAAATTACTACAGGTTGATACGTAATCATAGCCCCTAGGAGGCAGAGTTTACTATCCACTAGCTAGTATCGAACTTACAACTACTAGCAACAGTCATACACTTTTATCATTTTACTATAATAAATATAATAATAAAATTTGTTTGTTATAAAGTTTATAAAACTAACTTTTTTGAGAAAATTGTTCAATAAATTAAGGTTTGTTCATGTGATTTAAATAAGGTTTTTAAGGGACAATCAAATTTTTTGAGAACTTAGAACAAAAAAATTTTTTTTTTAAAAAAAATGGTCTACTACTACAAAAACTTGAATAAGAAAAAATGTTAGTCCAAGAAGGAGATTAAAAGAGTTATGGTATGATTCCTTGAAAGTTATTTACCCAAAAGGCTACTTACCCAACATCACAAGGGTGCCAAATTGCTAAAAATATATACTTACAGCTAATAAAATATTAACTCTAACCCTATGTGATATTGGGTAAGTGGCCTGTCAGGTAAATAGCTTTCAAAGAATTGAGCAACAACCGATTAAAAGGCAGTAATAATAAATTAATAATAATTAAACAAAATAAAAATAAATAAAACAAAAGTAAAAATTTAATAATAATAATAATTTTATATTGTAGAGAGGAGTCAGGAGAAAATTAGTAATAAAATTTTTAATAATATAGAAATATTAATAATATTAATAATAATTAATTTATATTTTTAGAGAGAGGGTGTGGATTAATCATTTAGAAGAAAAAAATGCAGATTTGGAGCAAAAGGTTAAAAATATAAAGAATTATAAGGATTGGTGACGGATACTATATTAGGAGAGTAATGTAGAACTTGGAGAGATAATAGATAGGTAGTTGCGAGAACAAAGAGAAACAAGAGAACCACAGGTGATAAGTAAAAGAGATGGTAAGTGGAAGAAGAAATATAAGGAATTATCGAGTAAAGTTGAAAGGAGAGAGGAATTAGAGCAAGAGTTAAATACGAATTTTTTAAGATCAAGAAGAATTTTTCGTTTACAAGAAAATTTAAACAGAAATAAGATAAAGAGAGATAAGGATAAGTTAATGAAGGAGTTAAAGAAAGAAAAAAATAAAATGAGAAGAAAGATAGATCAATTAAAGATGTTAGAAAAAGAGAAGTTAGAGTGGTAGCAAAGAAAGCAAGAGTGGAAGAAAAAACAAGCTGATTTAGAAAAACAGAGACAGGTATTGATAAGTGATTAAATCAACATTAGGTATAAGCAATGTTAATATAAGTTTTTTTTGTTTTAATAATAGAATTTTATAATATATAATTAAATAGAGATAAGACATATAAAAAATTTAAAGAAGATGATAGGAATTGACTTTGAAGAAATAGAAGAGAATATTATGGAGATTGAATTTGATAATTCCATAACTATATAAGATTCTAAAGATGAAGAAAGGTAAATAAATTAATAAATATATATATATATTTTTTTTTTGACTTTGTATATTTATAGTTTAAAAGATAAAGGAAAAAAAGTAGTTGTTCCAGAAGGAAGGAGTTGTTGTTAGAACAGAAGAGGTTATAGATTTAGATTTTGAAGAAAAAGAGTAGATTAACTAAGAAGAATTTGTTTTAGATGATATTAAAGAGGGAGATAGTAGTCATGGTCTAGATTATAGAAGATTGTAGAAGAGTATAGAATTGTCTTGTTCTTAGCAAATTTTAATAAAATGTTATATAAAAAATTTTTTTTTTTTTTAAATATAGATTTTTAGCAAATTACTGCAGATCAATTTTTTATTTTGAGCTTGGATAGTAATATAACTATAATTTACTAGACCTTTTCTATAGTGAACATTTCAAGATCGATTCTCTATATGCTTTGACGATATTATAGCATTTTGTGATGATTTCTTCTTTCTTTTTTTTTGACTTAGAATAGGATAAATAAAATAAATTATGCTTCTTTACCAGGGTCAAATATTTTTGGCCTTAACCAATGGTAAAATACAGATTCAGATTCCTTCTTTCTTTTCATATTAATATCTTAGCTTCTTAAATTCTTTATAAATCTAGCTCCACAAAAAAGAGTTCAGACTTTTACTGCAGTTACTAGTTCTTTTGGGCTTGAAGCTTCTTTTTTCACTTTCTAAGAAGGTAGGCTAGTAATATCGATAGATCCTCTTACCATACCGTCTCATTTCTTCTCGTGTTATCTTAGTAAGTCGATACTTCCTTTGGTTTTTCATTCTCACCAATTATTTTTCTAAATTTCTTGACCTTCTTATTTTAGGTATCATATATAGCCTCCAGGGTTCTTTTAATATCTGTAAGTATTCTCATTTTGACTTCACTTTTGTTTAATATTCCTTCCATTTTATTAACAAATTTTCTTGCTTTTTCCATAATATCAATAATTGTTTTGTCATTTTCACTACAACACTTATTAGTTTTTGTGTTTTTATTCTTATTTTTCTCTAGACAATATGTATTCTTTTCAATACTAGCCTTATCTATATAGCAAGAACTAATTTGAAACAGTTCTTTAGTGTTTTTCATCTCCACAACCTTTTGATAACGAATAGACACCTTGTATTTATCTGTTTTACTCCAATAACACAACCTAAGATTATTCTGACTATTTGAACTTTTGTTTTTACTACCCTTTTCATACCATTCAGATGCCCTAAGTTTATTCTTGACCATGTAATCATCATTTTGGTAACAGGGACCAGGATTATACAGCCCTTCTTTAACAGGCTTCTGGTCAGAAATGTATACTTTATACTGATCTTTTCCAACTTTACTTTTAAGCAGACAACATTCTTCAGAATCGTTACTTCCATTTGGATTCATGGATTCTTGCAGAATCTCATGTCTATCTTTTTCAAAACTAATTTCATCTCGATAGTAGGATCCAAGGTCAAACTGCGGATTGTAAATTTCAATACAACCCAGATACTATTTAAACTTTTCGAGTTTGGCTTCTACAGACTTTTGATAATAACTAAATGTCTTATACTTATTTATCTCAGTTTCTATTTCAACTTGATCGTAGCAATCAGCTACGTGTTTTCTATTGTCTTCATCTTCGATTCTATTTCTATTTTTATTGCAATAGCTAACATTATTTATTCTATTAGTATAATCTATCTTTGCAGACTCTTGACAGTAAAGATGTTCATCTTCTTCAGTTTTGATTTCATTTTTACACCAAGATCCAGGTTGATTTACTCTCTCGTCATCACTAGCAGTTGTTTGATTTTTATCATCCTTACTATTGTCGATTTCACTATTCAGACAACTTTTTTAGATTCTCTATTAGCTTCTGTTTTGAGGAACTTCCAAATATTGCAATCTTGTTCTTAGCTTTTATCTTCTTTAAATATATTACCTTTATCTCTGGCCTCAAGGTTTCTAGCTCTATTGATATATGTTTCGTATTTGTGGCTCTTGGTGGCTTCATTTTCATTATTATCACAGTATTCAAGCATATATACTCTATTAATTTGTTTCATATTGGTTGCTATATTGTTTTAATCCATACTTGCTGATAGTTGGTCATTTAGGAACTCCTGATATATATCCTTCTCAACTTCAATTTCATTTTGATATTAGTGTTTAGAAGTGGTTTCGTTAGCATATTCTATCTTGACAGATTCTGGATACATAAATCAGTTATTGGATTTATATAGTGTTAATAATAGTTTTATATATATAGGTAGATGAATAATCGATGGTGTTTCAACTTTTCTCTTTTCATTTGTAAAGTCTTTCAAAATCTCTAACATCAATTTTAGGGCTTGTGGAATCTGTGTATCATCAATAGACTCGTATTTCTAAACTTCATTGATTATATTTTGAACTTTATTTAACTCTTCTAGAACAAATACCGTTAGTATTCTATAACATTTTAGTTTCAATTGCCTTATATATTTATTTTTTTTACAATTCTGATTTTTCTGTTTTATTTGCAAATCTTCATAAATAATGATGAGTAA